TGATAATTTGACTATTTTTTAGATAAACTAAAAAAAATCACATAAAATGAGACAGATCACAAAGAGAATTTTAAGAATCAAGATGAATCCATCATTTAAAGTTTATGAATTCTATTTTGCACAAATTTATGTTCCCTGTCTAAAGTTATTGGTTCAATTGAACACGTAGCTACAACGTTTGCGTACACTTATGTTAATATCGGGTAAATAATAAGTTGAAAGTAGGGTTAAAATTATAAATTTACAATTATATATCGTATGTTTATCATTGTTTTTTTTCATTGCTATTTTGATTTATTATACTTGAGTTTGAATAGATACTTCATCAAAAAACCATTTCATTTTTACGAAATAAGAATTAAGGTCTACGTATATTTTATTTTCTTAAAAATCTACTTATAAAACTTTATGAAATAATACATTACTGTTATTATATATGTGTATACTATATATTTTCTTTTTGTATGATGAATTATATATTTACCAAAAATATATGCAGTAAATTATAAGATTTATTTTTAGTAAATCTAGTATTAGAATCTCTATTATTTAAACTATACATTTTGTCTTCCAATAAAACGATCTCAAATTGGTAGTACTAGGAGAACTGTCATAATTAGTCTTGCAAGTTGTAATTTTCTTTAAAAAATTAGGCCAGGTGTGGCATATTTGTATATACATAAATATAAATATTGCCACAAATAATGTTTGCGCGTAATATAATTTTTTTTAATAGTTGAATCTATAACTAGTAGTGCCACCTACCTATTTTTGGCTAGGGACTATTTTTCCTTTTAATTTTTCACTTTACTTTTAGAAAATATACTTAAATTGATTTTCTATTCATTGTCCGATATTTATTCTGAAGTTCGATTAATTCAAATTCACGTTAAAGATAATATATATTTTAACAAAATCAACTCTACGTTCGGGGATCGAAAGAAATGACGCATATGCCTACATATTAGTGTTTGTTTTATTTTTATGCAACTAAAAATTTAAAATTATAACGTATAAGCTACAAATTTAGATAAACTCATTCGAACAAAAATTGGTTATATAAGTTTAATGCTAAGAATTTGAAAGAATAAATGAATTAAAATTGGTTATATAAGTTTAGTGCTAAGAATTTGGAAGAATAAATCAATGGATTTTCAAATTTTAAATCCTATTCTATCTGCTCTAATTAAGATTTGTGAGATTTATTTTAGTGGAATATACATTATTCATCCCCTAATATGAGGAGAAATAAAATTAATGTTTTTCTCCATAAATTATGATGTAATATATTAAGATATAGTCAAAAGAATTAAACTAGTATCTATGCATGATGATCATGACAAAGATTCCATTATATTATGGTAGTTTTAGCAATAAATCATGTCATTTATTTTATAATTAATGCCATTTCTACTAATTTTTGAATTTTGGTTATTTCTTTTATTTTTTCTTTCCCTTTTAAATCGTCAAAGGAAGTTAAATAAATTTGGTGTAGCCATGCATTTGTCTCCCATTTCTAAAGAATAGGGCAAAAAACTTATGTCCACATAAATCAGTAAATATAAAATATTTAATTTGTATACATATTTAATTATTAAATTATAACTAAGTCATATATACTCTTACCTTAATTTTAGTTTACTACAATTAAATTATATGGAAAGTAAAAAATATGCTTAGTCCACTAGCTAAAGCCACAATTCAATTTAGTCGAATAAATGCGAGTCTCTATTTTACTCATGTATAAAATAATTGTATATTTCTCAATTTCTTAAATTATCAATCTAAGATACTTGAAGCTTCCTCTTTTGGGGATGACTCGTATGTCAACTCTCACTTTCACATCCGTTTCATGTATTGCACCATTGAATTTACACTTCAAGCACTCTGTTATAGAACCTTTAGACTGTACCTCGACCAACAACCTAACGTTTTACCCACCCTGTATCTTGTCACTCAATATTACACCATCATATGTAATTATAACTTACATTATGATACCTCCTCCTTGAATATAGCATAGTCTCGCTAAGGATGTTCAAAAATTCAGTATATATTTATAAAATATTTTTTTAACTTGTATACGGAACCTTATTTTTTACGTACACTATATTTTTCGATAAAGAATGATCGACTTATCATCTTTGAGTCAAAGGGACACATCAACAAAATTCTTTAGTTTTATTTTTAAAAAATAATAATAATGGATTTCTTTTTCTTTCTTTATATTTTTCTTTTTTCCTTTTGAAATATGGCCTGCTGGGAATTGAAAAGTGGCCTCATAGAGACAAGATAGTAGTTTTAGGAAAGATCAAATTGGGCCCATTAAATATGATTTTGACCCGTTCTATTTTTTGCCTTGTAGCAAAAGAAAAGGGAAAATAGCATTTTTAGTCCTTTAATTATTGTTAAATTCTGATTTGGTCCATAAATATATGACTTAATATATTTAACTTTATTAAAAAAAAATTATGTGTTTTTAGTTTCTTTTATGTACAAAACATGATATTATTAGATTAAATTTAAAATTATATCATTCTCAAATATTACATATTTCGATTGGTAATGCGATCGATTTGTGAAACATAAAAACTAATAGTGCATTACTTTAATATCGAAGACTTAAAGTGCTTAATTAGATATTACAAGAAATAAAGTTATGATTTATTAGTAAATGTTGAATCAAAATTGCTATATACACCCAAGGAAAAATACAAAAAGAATTTAGTATTTAAAAAAAATGAAAGAAATGAGATTGTGGATTAATTAGAGCCAAGTACATTAAAAACACATGGATTAATTAGCTATGTCCCATCTCAAAAATTAAAAATGATTTAAAAACATTACTTTAAACATCAATGATTTTAGAAGATGTCCAAATCAAATGAATGTTTCTTTTTTTAAAAAAAAATAAATAAATAGTATTTATGTGGTCGTCCTTAATCGTAGACTTGAAAGTAATTTGTTTTCAGTTTATTTGTCTTAATTTTTTATTTCAAAATAAAAAAATATTTTTATTTATTTTTATAACTATTTAATTTTAATTTTTCATATAATATTCTTAGATCATAAAATTAATTAATATTTTATATATTATGCATTTTTTTTAATTTCGAATCACAAAATTTAAAAAGTGTGAATTATTAGTATTAATTAAAAATGAAATTTCAATGCAATCTTAGGCTGACTTTATCTCTATTGGCTATACATCATTTTCAAGTCCGTTAACTTAGGTGAAATAATATAAATAAATTATATTTTTCAAATAATATTTTCAAAGATTTCTGCAAAAGTAAAAATTAAGTAGGGCCAAATTTTGGGCTGTTGATTGTCCTTTATTCCAACAACATTAATGTTGTCATGTTTCTTGGATACATTTTCTCAAGGAATCAACAGAGAATGGGATTTTTTTAAAAAAAAAAAAATCGTCAAAAATTCTAAATATGAAATAAATTTTCCATCTTAATTTATTGGTATGCATTAAAATAAAGAAAATCTTTCAATTTTAAAGATTATAAACTAAAAATATATAAAATGTATCAGTCTATCAAATTGTTCTTTAGTTTTATAATATTAAATGTATTATGTAAAAATTTAAAATTGATAAATTGCTTAAAAAATAAGAGATAATCTTTATAAAACAAATTAAGAAAATGAATTCTATTAAATGTGTTTCACGTTTAATACTTATAATAAAATGTTATCAACTCATCATTTTCAGTATTAAGTTAATAATCAGATCATTATAGTGTTAGATTGTCTTATTTACAAAATTACAAATCTACTTTTATCCTTTCATTTTATCCTTGGCTTATGATCTATTTAAATTCAGTACTTATATATATATATATATACACACACTATATTATATATAAAAAAAATTGTTTAGAGGAACCTTGGTGTATATATAACAAAACATAAAATTGAGTTTGATGGTCCATATAATGATTGGGTCATATGAATAAAGCCTATTTATTTTTGGGCTGATTTTGGGTAAAAACAGTCCAGCCTAATACAATATTTAGCATAGTGAACTTGCACTATAAGCAATAATGTTGAATGTCATCACATAAGTCCGTCAAGATCTATGTTGTTCAGACTCTTTAAAAATATTGTCACATTCATATTGATTATTCACTAGTTGAGAATGTAAAAAAATTTGGTTTGTCTTTTCAAATGATAAACTATGTCACAACATACCCTACATCAAAATTGATTTTTAGCAGCAATTAATTAGTAATTGCCGCTAAATATATATTTTTAACGGCAATTAACACTCTTTAAATATGTCCCTAAATGCTTAACGACTTTGAATCTAATAACACTTAACTAATGCCGATAAAAATTTTAGCACTCTTTATTAATATGTATACTTATTGCCGCTAAAAATTATTTTTGTTGTAGCGATATTTCATGGTTTCATTTAATATATCAACTGAGGTTTATGGAGAGATATCATTACAATATTTGGAACACAATTCACCTAATTAGACATGACGTTTCACTATGGTTTGTTTTTATTTTTAAGAAATAATAAGCTTTGTAACGCTTGTTTGGTTAATTTATAATTTAAAAAAAAATAAAAGTTGTCATTTAACCATAGAGTTTCCATTGTAATATTATTTCTTGCCTTGATTGTCTTAATATTATTTTTTAACCAAAAACCAAATGAAGTTGTATACAATAAAATAATATCTTTTACGCATTCAACAATTCCCTTTACCAGAAAATTCTGTTTATTAATCGAATGATTATCATTATTCTATTTCAGTAATTAAGTACCAAATGGAGTATTATTACATTATTTTTTTTAAAAAGAAATCCTAATTGTCTATATCAGGAGCAATTTTATTTTATTTTATTTGGCTTGTAAATAATAAACTTTCTATCAAGAGGTGAATTTGCCATTATAAATAACCAAACTCACATGCATATGACTTAAAAATAATTTTTTGAAAAATCTTGTTCATGAAAATACAGAGAAAATAGGAAAGGTATAACCACATAAGTTTTTTAATATAATTGCCTTTGCAATTTTTAATTAGACATAGAAATAGTTAACGAATAGCAATGGATTGCTATAAATATATGTCATTTACGAGCTATTTTTAGTGACGAAATTTTGTAGTTAATTTTGTTTAGTGAATTTGATAAGCAATTAATTTTTTTTTGCAGAAAATGAAGGAGAAGGAGTGTAAAAATGAAGAAAATAAGAGTGATTCAAAAGGAATTATTATCATATTGGGTGTTTATATTCATTGTCAAGGATGTAAAGAACAAGTACTTAAATCCCTTCGTGGCTTTGATGGTATAATTTTTTTCTATCCCATTTAATTTTTGGATATTGATTTTTGTGTGCATCTATATTTGTTACATCTAATCAATATAGATATGGAGTTGAATTCAACATCTGAAATTTTTAGATTTCTATCACGATCACATGTAAAATGAAAGGATACGATGATAATTATGTTTACAGTCAAATAATTATAATTTTTTTACTGAATTTCTTGCGCATTTAAGGAATTTGAGCTAATAGATATTGAGTTCATATGAACTCATATACTATACTCTAGACAAAAGTTTTAAGATAGTGAGAAATAAGTTCACATGAACTCATATACTATACTCTAGACAAAAGTTTTAAGATAGTGAGAAATAACTTATGTATCTTCTGTTTTACGTAGAAATATATATTCTAATTTCTGATGATTTTCACTCATTTTATTGACGATGATATTCCCTTACATTATTTCTCTCTTTCTTTTCCTTAAATTTTTCTCTCCCAAATTTAGGGGTGGGGGAAGTTGAGATTGATGATAAAAATCACAAAGTGATGGTGAAAGGGAAGAAATTAGATCCTCTAAATGTGGCTGAGAGACTGAGGAAAAAAAGTGGCAAACATGTGGAATTAATTTCTCCAATTCCATCAAAGAAGAAAGAAGAAGAAAAGGAGGAGAAAAAACAAGAGGTATATTTAAATAATTAAACTCAAATAGTTTTTTTCCCCTAAATACATTGACTAATACGAAATGATAACTTTTCGTAGTTGATAAAATTATTGTCATATGATCAAAAGGTCATAGATTCAAATCATAGAAATAGTCTCTTACAGAATTAAATAATCGTACACCTCTGTCGATTGTAATCAAGCCCTTCTACCGTAATACAAATTAAAAAGTTTTAGTAAATCGAGTTTTTTTTAAAAAAAAATATTATTCACTAATCTATCTTTTTTGTGGGGAATGCAGCCTAAGGTTATTGAAGTGATTTTGAAACTATATTTACATTGTGAAGGATGTGCTAAAGATGTCAAGCAATGCCTTCACAAAATGCCAGGTACATATTTTATTTTATTCTCTCATAATTAACTATGTCCATAAATAGCAAAAATAAAATAAAATTGGTTAATGAATCGAAGTTGCATATACTAAAGATGCATAATTTTTGTACAATCTATTTCAGTACTATTTCGAAACTATACATGCATGTTATTTTGATACACAAATTAAATCATCGATAAAAAATAATATCAATATAACTTATCCCGACATTGAGTAGAGTTACCAATTAACACTCACACCATATAGATTTTACTTGTGATTATGGTTGATCTGATGATGTAAATAATTTTACCTTGTATCCCTTACATTCTATTTTTTTTTTCATAATTCGAATTTCAGATATTTATATGCCTTTTTAAAATCCGTCTAAGTAAATTTTTTTATTTTTTTTGTGGATGATGTATAAATAGGGGTGCAAACAGTTGATCCAGAAATGAAGAACGATATAGTGAAAGTGAAAGGATCAATGGATCCACAAAAACTAGTCGAATTCATCAACAAAAAAGCAGGAAGACATGCTGAAATTATAAAGAAAATTGACAAAGAGAAAAATGAAAAAACATTATGTGATAAAAATTCATTTGATATTAGAAAAGGTTGCAGTAATTGCCAACATGATTATCTTCAATTTGTATATGCTCCTCAAATTTTTAGTGATGAGAATCCTAATTCTTGCTTAATTATGTGAAACAATAAAGTTTAACCATATCTTATAATATTATAATACCAAATTTCATGTACCAGAGATGTCCAAATGCAAATTCTAAATTTTATTTTTGTGCAACATTATTTCTTAATTAGTCTGTTTATATTTTTATTGTTACAACTTAATAACATACTCGCCATAATCGTTTGTTACTGTTCCTTTTTACTTGTCTTCCAGTTATTTTACCGCCTACTTTGAATTTTCGAGATTATAACTAGAACCACCCACCCCTTTTCTGGATCAACCTCACATCAATAAACACGACACTTGCTACATTGCATTGATTAAAATTGAGCAACATGACTTAAATCGCGGCACAACATAAGATTGATACTAAAAATCATCGCGTAATTTGACTTATATAGTCGATAAAAATATCTTCAAAATGTTAGATACGATGAAAGATTTACTAAAATACAACAATGCTTTAGTTCAAATAACAATGTTGTACAAGGAATGCTAGAAAATGGATCATAAAGTTTTGTTTACAATACGTTGTTCATTTGAATATACGGTTTAGTGTAGCAGCTAAGCGGACTCCACCTTGAGCTAAACGCCATAGAACTATTTGATATCGCGATAGGAAATAATCATCTGTTCTCCATATGTACGAGTTTCAACAGAGTTAAAATTCGCGCTATTGAAGAAAATTATTGAAGAAATTATTAGTAATTTACCTTCTAATGTTGAGTCTTCACTAACTCCTTTATATGCCCAGTCACAAGCAGCTTTGATACCTTCACTTGCATATCTATAGGAAGCAACAAATTCTTTATTAGTACTTTATGATCAAACGAGACAGAGGCGTACCCAGGATTTGAAACTTATAGGTTCTAAATATATTTTTGAGAAATCTAGTGAATATGTACGTATTTATAAACTTCAAATACTGGATCCGCTTTTGTTGAATGAACATACATATCAGGGCAGGTTGTTTTGTTGCCACTGCAGCTTTCCCATGAATTTACTTGATCAGCCCATCCTGTCTGTATAAGGCGAAATTCATTACGAATATGACAATTCATATATATATAACGTCGATCAAAACTCTTCAAAAATATCAACATACGTGTTAAAATAGTAATTTTAGAAAGTCTGAGCAATATAAGATAACAGTAGGTGCTATGCTGGTAGGATCCTCGAAAAGCTCATAACTTTTGAAGGATTCGACATACACCTGGAGGCATTTTTGGAGGATACGAGCAACATAGTTTAGGACTAAAAACAATTGTTTGTACCGTGATGTTCTTCTGAATTGCATCGACTAGTTCATCTACGTTAGAATCATCGTATCGTTCTTCTATAGTTTCGATTATGTTGGAATCCCAGACCTATTAACAAGCAACATTAGTTTCATCAAAACATAATCTGGATTTGGAAATTGTTTGTTTTTGTGATTTTGTCAATTAAAAAAAAAACACTTACATGATGGAGAACTGTTTTTCTAGTGTACCAATGAACATCTATAGTATTGCCTCCTCTGTCTGAAGTAAATCCAACATGCAAAGGCTGCATATATGAACCAAAAAAAAAAACATACATAAACACTACTAAAAAACTGGGTCAAAATCGAGGACCAAATCCCGAGGTAACACATAAACAGACACTCAAATTTGATTTCAACTGACATTCAAACACTCCAACTCTGAGTGTGTATACCTAAGACACCTCAACTCGTCTCTATTATCTCAGTTGAACAACTACAACTTACAAAATGATCATCTAGACACCTCCAAAGTTTTAATTATGCCATGTCAGTGTCACAGTAAGGAAGTGTAGGAGTGTTTACTTATCAGCCGAGGCCAGGTCAGATATGACATTCTTAAAATTTAACATTTATTTACCTGATGAATGTCCCCAAAAAAGTGAGAAAGGAAGAGAAGTGCTTCTGTCAAATTATCTGATATTTACTCAAAAAAAACCACAGTTTAGAATTCTATTAGTATCAATATTTTTTATTGAAAAAAAAAAGAATGAAGCAAGAAGTAAACATTACATGTTGAAACATGATCTTTGCCTTTGTTATAACTTAGAAGCTGATTAGTGTAATTGTAAATTGCTCCAGCTACACATCTATCTTCAACTCCATCTTCATCTTTACAGTCCCCTGTATACAGCAACAACGATTACGCCTTAGTACCAAACAAGTCTGGTACGTGAATCCTCACTAAACATATTTCAAGGGTAGTCTGCTACGCGAATCCTCACTAATCATGTTTCAGTAACTTGAACTTGTAACCTCTTGATAACTAAAATTGTACAATATAAAAATAAAGTACTAAATATATTTTTTACTAACGATTGACATGTTACAAAATAATTAGTCATTCATCACTACCACTTTTGCTCTATTTGCACCGTGTAATTTTCTGGTAAAGGGGAATTCAATTGAACGCCCTTAACCTATCTTTAATTACACCCTTTCTCTGACTCAAACAAGTTAGAAAAAAACTATACGAATTCATACTGTTCATATTAAATACATTTTTGTACCAATATTAGATACGTAAGAGAAGTACTAGAAGTTCTCTATATTTTCTATTGACGTATCGAAGTTAGTACTTACTTTTATATTGATAATTGCAAAGATTATCAGGGGTATCAATGTAATGAAGAGGTGATGACCAATGATAATGGAACTTAACACGATCTGCCCATATACACACACTTGCCAAATCACCATTTGCAGATTTTGGTAACAAATTTTCAACTGCATCTGCAGCAGTTTTACTCAATCTTGACTGTCACAAATAAAATAAAATTATGTCACACATATAATGAAAGAAATTTAACGAAACAAAATTTTAAAAGACCATTTTAACCTATATTGCACTGACTCTTCAAAAATGTTATAATTATTTTTTGGAGAATTTGAGATGAGCACAATAACGTTTAGGAAAGTCTTGTTAACATAGCTTTTAACTCAGTTATAGAGTAACACACGATAAGTAGAAAAGTAAAACATGATCGATTCAAAAGACACAAACACATAAAATCTTTCTATACAAATAACATCATTTATATTTAGAGACATAAGTCATTGGTTCAAATCCGAGAAAGGGGCTTTGTAAAAAATTAATCATGGTGCAACAACACAAGTTTTAAATTAAATGGTAGAGTAATTCGTTCAAAATAAAAATATCATAACATGAGTTATTCACATAAATATATAAATACATGGTGCGGAAGATCATAACATGAATAATTCAAACAGATAAAAGCGCATATAAGATCTATTTATACAAATAAAAATAAAATTAGGACCTGAGCAATCTTGCAAACAGTGTAATGACCATCAAGTCCCCATCCATGAACTACTGGAGAAAGAATCAAGACAGCTACCATAGCCAAAAATACATGAAATTTGTATAACTCCATTTTTGCTACTCTCAAACTAAAATCCACCAAATTGACAAGTAATTTTTTTTGGTCTTTATAATAAACTAGGACAAAAAGGGGACTAGTGTGAACTGTATGAATACATGGGGAAAAAATCAAGAAAACATTTATGGGGCAATAATAAATATTAATGATTTGATGAATCTTGGTTCACATTTGCCTATTTTTATTAATACTTTCAAATTTTAGGAATGATGAGTCCCCCTTTTTACTTTTTTTCCCTTAAATAATAAAGTTAGAGCGAGTTTAGATTGACTTAAAAGTTGATCAAATCTATTTTTAAATCAGTTTTTGATTTTTCTGAATGTTTGGTGAATATAAAAAATAGCTTAAAAAAAGTCAAAAATGACTTAAAATAAGTTACGAGTTGCTTGACAAGGTAAAAAATAACTTAAAATAAGTCAAAAAAAATTAAAACAAGTCGGAAACCAAAATCAGATCTCCTCCATTTTTTCAATTTTTGACTTAAAAGTTATTTTAGTTTGACTGTTTTTTTTACTTAATAGTTACTTTTTTAAGTCAATTCAAATGAACTCTTTAACTATATTCACATGTGGCTACTTTTTTGGCCAAATTTTAGTCATTAGAATTAAATTGTTAAATGTTATGACGTATAGTAATTAATAATTATTATATATTATGACGTAAGTAATTCTTAATTTTCAAATATAAAAATTCAATGTCCAAATTTATGATCAAATTTAATCAGCTTGGTTTGATTCTTTGAATTTGAACTATGATATATAAATTGATACGTAAAGTTATCATTGTAGTATCTTTTTTGTTTTAAATTCTTAAAGATGCTTTTTGAAAGACTTTAAAAAGAAAGAAAATAATGAAAAATGTTGAAAGATTTTTGTAATCGTGCTTGTAAAGGAAAGCAATTTATTGAGAGAAAGCGTAACGGCTCAAATGGGAATGACCATTTTTTGGTACTTTTTTTTTATTTAATTGATTTTATTCTCATAAAAGAGAAAAAACAGAATCTATGAGAGGGATAATGGTGACATGAAGAAATAATTAAAAAAAAAAAGAATAGTTATAGTATTAAGTTCAATATAGAAAGCATAACCTGCCATGAGCAGTAGGTTATCAAAACCAAAAATTCAAAATATTCAAACCGATTAATTCAAAAATTGAATGTAAAAAATTCCAATCTAATACGAACTTATTTGGGTTGTTATTTATTGAGGAATTTTCACGTATAGTCACTTAAAAATAGCTTAATTACTCTCCATAACGATAGTTTGATAACTATAATTTGTAGCTACATGTTATATGGAGGAGAGGAGCGATCGAGATTGGAAAAGAGAGGGCAGAGAGTGGGAGAGAGGTGAATGGTATATGTATAATCCGTTAGATAATTGTATAATATTATACATATGCATTTGTATATATGGCAAGCAACATTAGGAGAGGAGGAGGGAGGCGAGCGAGAGAGGACAATGATTTATATAATTTGTGGCTACGTTTGTATATTCGCGTGTTTCTGTATAATTGAGTAATATAAAGTCTTAAATTGTATAAATATGATAAAACTTGAAATAACAAATTGATACAAACATAAACATATGAACTTTTAACTGTTATACAAAATATATTATACAAACTCCGAAAACTACACGTTTATACAAACTTTAAAAAGTTATACACAAAAGATTGTATGTATATGGTGACGACAAAATTAAAAAACCAAATGAAATCATCGTCATATACAAAAATAAAAAATCACATACAAATACAAATCAAACGAAAAAAATCAAGTTGTGAATTATACAAATGTGGCAAATTATACATATACAAACGTGGTTTATTATACAACTCAAAGTCTGCCTCACGTAATTAATGGTTAATGTTATTCACGATTAATAATTATAGCAAACTATAACTATAATGAGTAATTAAATAGTATAAATTTGCTTAATCACATAATTTTTCTTTATTTCTACAATCTCGAAATAAAAAAAATCTCAAAATTTTTATATCCAATAAAAATAGCCCGAATGTCCACCCTTAGTCACATCGTAAGCGATAAATAAATGGAAAAATAACTTAAATACATAACTATAATTTTTATATTCTCCAATTTTCCCTACTTTTTTTAAATATTACATAATTCTTTTTTTTA